GTTCAGGTATGCAGCACACATAACAACAACACTAGAATAAAAATGTGAGAGTTTATGAGAGTAATTAACAGATTATGCTTGTAAATGCAAACTCCATATTTTGTTTTCTGTTATTTGGGCCACTCATAACATTGCTAGGTGCTTCAGTTCCAGTAGCTGCTCAGTTTAGGCTACAGGCTCTGTGTTTAGTTGGCTATATTAGCGATTAGATGAACTTAAGTTGTGTTGTTATCTACGCATAACATCCTACATCCAGCATGAGAGTTCACTGTAAACTAGCATTTTGATGGTGAAGTATCATTTAACATGATTCAAAATCAGCAGGTACATTGGGCTGTAGTTCGTCTTTCTAATTGTATGAGTGCCCTGTGCTTCATGTAGGCCGGGTTTGGTAGAGACGGACTTTTATAACGTATGTTTAATGTGTGCTTTTTCAGCAATCAGTGAGAAACGAGGAGCAAGAGAGAGACAGAAAAGCAGAGAGAGGGAGATGAATGGTAGAATGAACTAAAGTCGTTTTGAAACTGTCACCTGATTTAGTGATGTCAGCATGTATTTAAAGCTGAAAATAAAGATGTAAATAAATAGTTAAATGATTAATTAAATAAACATAAACAGGGTAACTGGAGGGTAAATTAGTATAGTATTAGTGCGTAACAATTATGGATGGGTAAACAAGGAGCAATGATTTAATTTAAAAAATCCCTAAAACTGAATATGACAGTAGGTGTAGTTGGTGTTATTCACTGTATGATGGTTACTTTTCAGCAAAACAGGCCTCATTAAATCTTTTATCCTAGTTATGGCCCTGCAGCACAGGCTGAGCAGGCTGTACATAATGCTGGCGTTCATTTTAGTATAGCTGCAGTGTTGGGGTCATTACTAAACAAGGAATTCATTATTCAAGTTACCAGTTACTTTTCTCAAATTGCAGTGGGATTATTTTACTTACTACTTTACTTCTGCATTACTCTGCACTAAATTGTCACTATAGTAACAGACCATCTTGATTATTTCCAGCATTATTTCTTAGAATGAACAAAATTTCTTCCAATACAAAGTAAGAATTCCCTTAATAAAAACTTAGCAAAATGCTTACAAATATGTTAAATAATTTTATAATATTCTTACAACAATCTAAAAAGGTGAGCAGGGAGCCGTATTTATGAGAGAGAAAGCAGAAAGAGGGCAAGACTAAAGCAAATTCTCAGTGGAAACAGATCTGGGGCTCTTTTGTGTGCCATACTAAGTTCAATCTTACTGTATATCGCCAGCATATCACTAACTGCAGAGACAAAAAGGAAGATACAGGTGGAAAGTAGAAGATGAAGATGAAGATTTTGACAGATGTAGTCATCACTTTTTTTCCAGAAGTCATGTATTCAGGAGAGAATAATGCTGAGATCAGACGACACAATGTCTTTCACGATGGTCACTGTGTCAGATTAGGCAAACATAGTGTTATAAATTTGTGCCGTGTCTTGGTCAGGAAACTGGCAACACTACAAGTTTGACACAAACCAGTCATCGTTCACGTTCTTGCGCCAGTCAATAGGTCGTTGGGGAGGCGGGTCAAGGAGCTGTCCGTCAGATGCGCTGTGTGTGATGCTGCCGAGTTTGTGTCTAACATTTATCTTTTTGGACTCGTGAACTTCTTTACTACTCGTTGTAGCGCCCCCTGGAGGAAACTTCAGAAGGGCAGAAGGCACAGCTGAACGAATGTTTCCTCTGTTTCGTTGTTCTGCCTGATAACTGCAACAGCAGCTCCCATCTTTCTCTTCGCGGTGTTTTCATCTGCGCGCCAGACAGCACTCTGACCTCCTATTGGTTAATGTGAAGGAATGTGTTGTAGGTGATGTCAAATTAAGCAGAAAAATACAAACATTTTCGACATGCTGGACTTTTCATCGGGGTGTTGTGGGGAGTCCCAGACGCCACATGGCTCTTTGATTATGTCACACTTTAAGTGTCGGATATGATGACAAGTTACGTTCATCATATCTGACGCTCATATTCGGCCCGTTGCTGCAAATTTGTCAACTGCAACAAAATCATGTCATATTGAGCTGAACTCCTGTAGTCTGATCCCAGCATAAGGTAATCTGTCTGAACTGGTCTTCAATAACACAGAGCACATTCTGAATATGAAGCCCATACAAAGCCTGCAGACACTCCTTAATTCAGTCATTTTGTGTGCGTTGCGCTATTGGCAAGCAGAGCAGCTGTGCACCAAGTGCTGTGTTGTCTGATGCTGGGGCTGCACACACGACACACATCACTGAACCCTGTAAGTGATTAAAACTCAACTCTGCTGTTTGCTGAAAACATTTGTTTCTTGATAATTTTAGGTTACTTGATGAATTATAGTGCTATTCAAAATATATGTTTTTAGTTTATCTACTGTTATTTATTAAAAGTTTTAATTATTCATTTACATTTTATTTTATTAATTTATTCTTCTAAATAATAATGAAAATAATAACAATAATTTGTTCTTCATAATTATTATAGATGTAAATATGTTTAATGTAAGTAATGGGTAATTCAAGCCTTTAAATAATAGACTCTGCAGTTTTTATATTAAAATAAAAAATTTGTTCTGCAGAAAAGCAGTGATCTTACCCTGTTAGGAAAATATTACAGTGCTGCTGTCAGTGCTCTTACATCTCTTAAAGGGAAGGAGAGGAGGTGATCTGATTGATCCTCCTGATAAGGATAAGGTAAGTAGGTCTCCCTGCTGTCCCCCTTTTGCTATTTCCCCTTTCGCAGGCAGACACAGGTAAGTACTTTCATACACACACATGTATTTTATAATCCACGGTATGGTGCTCATTGGTGATGGGGAAGGCCTCGCCTTACCACATCACAAGGATTTTTTTGCCATATGATCATGAACTTCTGCAAGCTGTTTCATTATATTAGCAGTGTGTAGCATATAAACTTTGTTGGTCAGCTTCTTGGACAAGGATTATGCATAACACAGGGTTTTAAATGGAGATTGTACATTAAAAGGAAAGAACGGTCCATGACTAGGCTTAATCCCTGTCCAGGAAACCAGCCTTACATGTAGGCTTTGTTTAACTGATTATCGCTACAATAAAGCTCATTTCCACTTGCATCTCTATGGGATTGTTACAGAGTGTATACAGTAATGGTGTACATAAGTGTATTCACTTTCACATACAGAGTTTGATACTACTTGGGACAGCTGTAGTTGATAAACTGACATTTAAAGCGTGTAAGATATGCATGTGATATACATTTTTTATATTTTGCAGTTTTTCAGTGAATCCTGTGGTATTTAAACTTAAAGGCTGTCTCGTAATATTATTGTAGAAACCTGTTAGTCTGGGAAACTGGTTGTTAAACAGAGTAGTGCTTTTATGCAGTGTATTAAAGGAGAATTCCACTGGTGGTTATGGTGTAAACAGAGTCATTCAGAGTGGTTTGGTGTGAAACACTCTGTTCTGGAGAAACTTACCGAGTCAGAATTGCACACAGTGGTGGTGATAGGAACCAGACGTCCACCTCTAAAAGCTCCCTCACAGAAAGTTCCTACATGAAATGGTTATGAATTCACTGCCTGATGTCTGAGGAATTATATATGATAGTTTTGAGAAGCTTTTGGTCTAAAACATGTTTTTAATGGTGGCGGGGTGCTGTGAGGCAGAATAATCCGCAAAGAAAACCTTTTTTTTCCAGATTTCTTTTATTTTACCATCAACATTCCATATAAAACTCAGAAGAAATGTAGGTTCACTGGTGGTTTTGGGTAATAAATAAAATGACCATATTTGTGTTGTTGTCATGTTAATACCTTGTTCCTATAAACACCACTGTAAAGAACATCTGGGTCTCTACAATCAACCATTTCACACCAAACCACTCTGAGTGACTTTCTTTACAGCTCAACAAATTATGCAAAAAATATGTTAAAATATGTTAAAATGACTAACGTGAGTTTAGATATCATTATGTTCAAATATATGTTTGAGGTGTTGTTCCTATTAATAAATATGCAGTATTGCTGGTGTATTAAAATAGTGCAGTATACAGTATTAATGCTGCTATAATAGTGCAGTTTCAGTACAAACGCAGTAAAACGGACATGGTACAACTACAGCACTGTAGTTTGTAAAGCTGCAGGTCAGATGCAGTAAATGGAGGCAGGATAGCATCACTACAGTTTTAAAACCTTTTAGTACTTCAGTTGTCCTGCTTCTATATTCACATGATCATTTTATGGTGAGAAATTAGTTGTTTTGAAATTTATCCGTGGCACTAGTTTTTATTTATTTATTTTAGACTGTGTTTATGTATAAGTCGCCCTTTTAACTAACCTTTTTCCATTCTATGGTTTTTCTATTGTGTAGAATCGTACAGAATGTCTGTCTACGACCACAGTGTGCTTTAAAAACAAATTCTGCACCAATTCACAGTGGTTAATACTGATCACTGAACACATAAACACACATCTGTCTCCCATTATTTGTTTACTATTAGAATAACTGTTGTGAACAATATAAAACCAGTGTTAAAATTCTGTAGGTGTTTGTCTTTTTGAACATTGGCCCAAAGTTGGGCCAGCATGTTCCGCTTTGTTATTGTTCCTTCTTGGTGATTTTGCTTTGGCCATACTTTTACCGGATATGATCTCAGTAACACAGCTTACCAAATTAAACTGAGAGAGAGAGAGAGAGAGAGAGAGAGAGAGAGAGAGAGAGAGAGAGAGAGAGAGAGAGAGAGAGAGGACAGAAGAGGGTAAATATGGTGCGTATTTTCATATTAAAGGTTTTAATTTAAATTTAAGTCTTGTTCACTTAACGGGAGTGGATTCCCAGCCTTTACCTGCTTCCGGCTTCTCTGCCTCACAGTGCGCACAAACACAGCGGAAACACAGCAGAAACACAGTGAAATAAATGTCCTGAGGAGCTACAGAGTTTAAAGTTCTGTTTCAGTCAGAATAATTGATCAGTACAGTCTGTATCAATCACACTCACCAATAGAGGAGACTGTTTCTAAACTCTAGACTCTGAACTCCGCTCCGCTCCTCCGCCCTGCTGTAGCCAGAATGGCGGTGTGTGACGAGGAGGAGGTGCCGCCTCTTGTGTGTCCTCCACGTCATTCCGGCTACAGATATATATATATATATATACATATATATATATATATATATATGTGTGTGTTTATG